TTTTTCGTCGCCCATCGGTCGCGCGCGACCGACGAGCGACGTCGCAATGCAGATACTCGCGACTCCACTTTTGGTGAAAGGCCTGGAAAACACGAACTTTCCCTTGTGCTTGACAAGTCTACGTTGTTCGTAATGCCATTTTCTAGGGAACGAAGCGAAAAGAAAACATTCAATATGTCTATTCCACCAGGGAATAAATAATATGCAAGTGCAACATAAAATAAAAATATTTTTTTTTTTTTTTTTTTTTTTTTTTTTTTTTTTTTTTTTTTTTTTTTTTTTTTTTTTTTTTTTTTTTTTTTTTTTTTTTTTTTTTTTTTTTTTTTTTTTTTTTTTTTTTTTTTTTTTTTTTTTTTTTTTTTTTTTTTTTTTTTTTTTTTTTTTTTTTTTTTTTTTTTTTTTTTTTTTTTTTTTTTTTTTTTTTTTTTTTTTTTTTTTTTTTTTTTTTTTTTTTTTTTTTTTTTTTTTTTTTTTTTTTTTTTTTTTTTTTTTTTTTTTTTTTTTTTTTTTTTTTTTTTTTTTTTTTTTTTTTTTTTTTTTTTTTTTTTTTTTTTTTTTTTTTTTTTTTTTTTTTTTTTTTTTTTTTTTTTTTTTTTTTTTTTTTTTTTTTTTTTTTTTTTTTTTTTTTTTTTTTTTTTTTTTTTTTTTTTTTTTTTTTTTTTTTTTTTTTTTTTTTTTTTTTTTTTTTTTTTTTTTTTTTTTTTTTTTTTTTTTTTTTTTTTTTTTTTTTTTTTTTTTTTTTTTTTTTTTTTTTTTTTTTTTTTTTTTTTTTTTTTTTTTTTTTTTTTTTTTTTTTTTTTTTTTTTTTTTTTTTTTTTTTTTTTTTTTTTTTTTTTTTTTTTTTTTTCTTTTTTTTTTTTTTTTTTTTTTTTTTTTTTTTTTTTTTTTTTTTTTTTTTTTTTTTTTTTTTTTTTTTTTTTTTTTTTTTTTTTTTTTTTTTTTTTTTTTTTTTTTTTTTTTTTTTTTTTTTTTTTTTTTTTTTTTTTTTTTTTTTTTTTTTTTTTTTTTTTTTTTTTTTTTTTTTTTTTTTTTTTTTTTTTTTTTTTTTTTTTTTTTTTTTTTTTTTTTTTTTTTTTTTTTTTTTTTTTTTTTTTTTTTTTTTTTTTTTTTTTTTTTTTTTTTTTTTTTTTTTTTTTTTTTTTTTTTTTTTTTTTTTTTTTTTTTTTTTTTTTTTTTTTTTTTTTTTTTTTTTTTTTTTTTTTTTTTTTTTTTTTTTTTTTTTTTTTTTTTTTTTTTTTTTTTTTTTTTTTTTTTTTTTTTTTTTTTTTTTTTTTTTTTTTTTTTTTTTTTTTTTTTTTTTTTTTTTTTTTTTCTTTTTTTTTTTTTTTTTTTTTTTTTTTTTTTTTTTTTTTTTTCTTTTTTTTTTTTTTTTTTTTTTTTTTTTTTTTTTTTTTTTTTTTTTCTTTTTTTTTTTTTTTTTTTTTTTTTTTTTTTTTTTTTTTTTTTTTTTTTTTTTTTTTTTTTTTTTTTTTTTTTTTTTTTTTTTTTTTTTTTTTTTTTTTTTTTTTTTTTTTTTTTTTTTTTTTTTTTTTTTTTTTTTTTTTTTTTTTTTTTTTTTTTTTTTTTTTTTTTTTTTTTTTTTTTTTTTTTTTTTTTTTTTTTTTTTTTTTTTTTTTTTTTTTTTTTTTTTTTTTTTTTTTTTTTTTTTTTTTTTTTTTTTTTTTTTTTTTTTTTTTTTTTTTTTTTTTTTTTTTCTTTTTTTTTTTTTTTTTTTTTTTTTTTTTTTTTTTTTTTTTTTTTTTTTTTTTTTTTTTTTTTTTTTTTTTTTTTTTTTTTTTTTTTTTTTTTTTTTTTTTTTTTTTTTTTTTTTTTTTTTTTTTTTTTTTTTTTTTTTTTTTTTTTTTTTTTTTTTTTTTTTTTTTTTTTTTTTTTTTTTTTTTTTTTTTTTTTTTTTTTTTTTTTTTTTTTTTTTTTTTTTTTTTTTTTTTTTTTTTTTTTTTTTTTTTTTTTTTTTTTTTTTTTTTTTTTTTTTTTTTTTTTTTTTTTTTTTTTTTTTTTTTTTTTTTTTTTTTTTTTTTTTTTTTTTTTTTTTTTTTTTTTTTTTTTTTTTTTTTTTTTTTTTTTTTTTTTTTTTTTTTTTTTTTTTTTTTTTTTTTTTTTTTTTTTTTTTTTTTTTTTTTTTTTTTTTTTTTTTTTTTTTTTTTTTTTTTTTTTTTTTTTTTTTTTTTTTTTTTTTTTTTTTTTTTTTTTTTTTTTTTTTTTTTTTTTTTTTTTTTTTTTTTTTTTTTTTTTTTTTTTTTTTTTTTTTTTTTTTTTTTTTTTTTTTTTTTTTTTTTTTTTTTTTTTTTTTTTTTTTTTTTTTTTTTTTTTTTTTTTTTTTTTTTTTTTTTTTTTTTTTTTTTTTTTTTTTTTTTTTTTTTTTTTTTTTTTTTTTTTTTTTTTTTTTTTTTTTTTTTTTTTTTTTTTAAAATGGGGAGGTTTGTGATAGAATGATCTCTGGAATCTCCCCATTGTGACTGAACTTTTCATTAAGGAGCATTCCTGATCCCTTACCTGGTGATGTTGCTGATCGGCGGCTTGCCGATGTTCTATATGGAATTGGCCCTTGGTCAAGTTCCATCGATCTGGCTGTGTGAGCATTTGGCGGAAGGTGTGCCCCCTCTTCAAAGGTGACATTTTTAGTTTTTTCCTGGGAGCTGTTCTTACCAATCAGGTTGCTATTTTAGGCATCGGGTACGGTATCTGTTTCATCTGCACGTTCATAGCCTGTTTCTACAACGCCATTATTGCACACGCTGTCTATTTTGTTGCAAGCTCGATAGCGGTGAGTCTTTCGAAACGAAGCGCATTGTTACTTCAAGAATGTGGGCGGAACTTGCGGAGCGCCTGTCTATTCGCTTAGTGAATTGTGCTTTGATATAGTGAGAATTCCCCAACGACCCATAGTGTGGCATTGGGATTCTTCCTGAGTCAGAAGATGTATCCCTGAAATATACGTGTAGAGCGCTGATTGTAAGTCTGTAAGTCGGACCGTCTGAGAGCCTGTCTCGTGGGAAATTCAGTACCACCTGGAGAACCACCTGGAGAGCCCGCATCGAGGCCGTGGGAGGCTCTAATGAAAAATTCCCAAATCGGGTATGAGGGAGAACGCGTTCGACAGCCTACCACGACCATTTCTGGAAGGCGCTCAGAACGCGGAGCATACTGGAACACCTGATCACCTCAATGCAGGACATGTACAGGTACTAAGGATCAGCTCTCTAAGCCCATTCCCCTTCCTACTGATTCTAGTGTTGTAAAGGGACTGAAGAAAAGGGTCACTGAAAACTATTCCTTTCTCTGATGGCATCGCCCTGGTAGCTTATAGCGAAGAAGGACTACAGGGCAAGTAGCAGAAATGACAGTGCTAGCAGAAGGGTTGCTGCAATTGAACGTAAACGGAGCCAGTCATACACGGTCATGGGAAGCGTAAAATTGGAGGGTACCCAATCCCTTGGG